CTCTCTTTAAACACAGTAAAATAAATGAACTTTGAACGTATATTAAAAAAAAAATCCTTAGAATATTTCCTTTTGCCGTTAAAAAATTTAAAGTTTTGTGTTATAGCTATTATATTATCATCATCAGCATCTCTTCAATATCATGTTTCTAGTAGGAAGATTTTTTTTTCCTGAATTTTTAAATAAGATATTTAATTTATACTAATAAATAAACAAAAATGGAATCCTGGTATGGCACTGTAAGATAAGCATTGGACTTATAAACAAAAGATTGTGGTTCAAAACCATTCCTGATAAATCCTATATGTGGGAGAGACCAAGAAACATTCTGCAATGTGGATCATTACCAGTTTTGTTTATTTGTATATTGTAACGCAAAGAGTTTGAGTTTCTATGAGAGACTGAATTTATGAGGAAGAGCCTGTCTTGTATCATGTTGTTCTTGTTATGTGCTTTGGAGTCAGTTCCAACTCATATCAATCCTGCATAAGGTTTCCAAGGATTGGCTGGTGGGTTTGAACCATTAACCTTGTGGTTAACAGTCTAGAGCTTATCCTACAGTGCCACACCAGGACTCCTGTCTTATGTAAAAATGTTGTATAAAATACAACAAAAATAAATAACTAGATATGAGGAGGCTTCAAAGTATGTGCAGATTTTTCATTTTCTTTTGATTCCATTTTCCCACAAACTTTCTGAAGCCCTCTCCAAATTTCAAAAGTCTTTCTGCAAATACTAGAAATAAATTGAGAAACTGAAGCTAGATCATGTGGCATTTTGGACACACATGCAGAGTAACTACAATAGAATAAAACAGAGAAGCAGAATGACTTAGACCAGGGGCAGATAGGATGGGGCAGGAATTTGAAGAAGCTGAGAAAAAAAGCAATCTTAAATCATAGGAGGAACTTTATTCTGGTAGGTAGAGAGCATTAGATTCTACCAAACAGAATGAGAAGTAGTCATTGTCAGAAAGGATCATACAAGGTATTTTCCATGGTCAGTGAATATTATATTAGAAAATCCACAATGATATTAACTTTGGAAAAATGACTACAGAAACACAGTCACATTGCTGTGACAGTACAAAACTACAGCCATGTTAGAAATTAACAAGAGCAAATCCAGGGTTGAGGAACATTTAATGGAATTAAAGGATGGTGTCTTTATCAGGGTTCTGTAGAGAAACAGAATTATTGAGTGGTATGTATAAATATATAGAGAAAGGACTAGAGAGAAATTGATTTACTTCAAGAAACTGGCTCACACAGTTAATACATCTGGAAAGTCCAAAATCTGTAGGTCGACTGGCAGCCTGGAGAATCTGCAGGCTTTAGTCCCAAGAGCTATAGTTCTGGTGATATGAAGAGTGCAGAGTCCACTGAGAGCAAGTTTTACCTACAGATTTACTCATATTATGCAGGCAGACCACATTCTAAGGAACTCCTCTTTGAACCGATTCACTGATTACCTTAGTATATTAGATTACATTATGGAACTGCAACTATCAATGTTTTGGCAAAACCACTGGGAAACCATTTGGCAAAACCATTGCCTAGCCACTCTAATGCAAACTATTAACCATCACAGATGGAGACTACTTACTGACAACAAAATATTGGGGTCAGTGTTTCTGGAAAGTTCTTCCTTAAAACTCTCTTAGAGTTAGTTGGCTCCATGGGTGTGTCTAAGGCAGTAAGATTCAGATGGGTAAAGAGGAAGCATATGCTCAGCCATTCCATGGATCAAGAAACCCAAGGAAGGTGAGTATGCAGTTACCCCAGCAGGAAGCTAGGAGAAAGTAGAAGGGAAGAATGGAGAAAAGGATACAGATCAGAAGAGAAAGACAAAGGTTGAAGGAAAAGATTCTTATATGGAAAGTGAAGAAAATACTGACCTACATTTCAATATTTGCTTATATGACTGAATATTCTTGAATTTAAGAAATAGGATACTAAAGTCTATAACACAAAGAGATGAGCTTGGGGGTGCAGGAATGAGGTTGGGGATAATGGTGTGGGAATATAACAAGTAATTTTAAAGAAGAGGATAGAAAATCAGTTGAACTACTTCCACTAAAGAAAAAATGATAGAAGAGCCTCACCACTTGTGATCATAAAATGAGATTAAAAACAAAAATATTTTAAAAGGTTAATACCATCACTCAAATGCAGGACATATTTTTGTTGCTACCTGAATCATAGGGAAGACTGTTAAAGAGATTGCCCAGATTACAGGAGTCAGCCTGCAGCAGCTTCCCGAGGTATGATTCTTACTTCTCTTTTCCAGGGTGATCCAGCTGGTGATCCAGAACAAATTGACAGTTATTTAGAAGCTTTGCTTAAAGAAGATAATCTCCCTTTTCAAAATGCCTTAAAGAAAGTTACTATAGAGTCAGGATGTAATTTCTCTTCAGAAAAAAAATAAAAGTGCTTCTCAAAATTGAAAGTCAAAAGGAATTTCCTGTTAAAAATGCTAATAAGAGAATTAGAAGATTATTTTCACAAAATATTTCCACTTGTGTTGCTGTTGTAAAGTTCATCCTAGTTAACATTAAGAAAAACTTGTATTTTAGAAATGCAGACTGATGTATAATTTACTTACTTCCCAAACTTACATCCTAACTTTTTCTGTTCTTCCAGAAACTTTCTTTAATTCTATAATTCCCGTAGTAAACTACTAAGAAAAATGAAAATGTCATTTAGGCTTAAAGTGTGTCTTCACTGAAAGGACTGCAAAATATTGAAAAGCAATGACTTTCAAAGTTAACCTACAAAGGGTTACAGAAGCATCTCCTCTTAAAATATGTGTGGCCAAATGAGTATCTAGAAATAAATTATGTCATTCCCTTACTATGACCAACACTTAGTTAAATCAGAAAATACAAATCTAAACAAAGCTTTGCAAAATACTGGGCATTTGGTAGTTTTATTATTGAATTATAGTAAAAGGAGAAGACATCTTGTAAGTATGATATGTATGCATATCTATATATCAGTGTGTACATATATTTACACAAACTCATATGTAAGCAATAGTGCTTTCACATTGTCTGTGATAACTGATCGGTTTGTTTGTTAGAAATGTCTGAAACTTTTGACAAAATAATAAAGCATTTAATGTTTGAAGAATTGTATAATTTTAGTTTTATTTACTTTTATATGCATATAGCACAAAATTCAGAATATACAAAATGAAATATAGTGAAAAATAAGTTTTTACTATTCTTGTGTTTAGACATTTTCTTGTCAGTATGCATGCTTTTATCAGTTACTTGTGAATCCATCCAAAAACAATGTATATAAGGGCATATGAATCAATTTACACCTACTCTTCACTTTATGGACTATCTCATTATCAACATTTCACATATATGACAACTTTGAAAACATTCTTAGGCAATGCTTTAGATGGTCAGGCCACTCTTAGGTCTGTGGCTGAGTCCAATCTGCCCTCTCCAGACTACCCAGAAAGATATGCTGGAGACAGTGGCTACAACTGAGCCACATGATTGTGGATAGAAACTGGCTGCAGTGCACCATCTCCCTTTGATTTAAGAGATCCAAGCCACAAATAGTGCAGGGTGACAACAGGAAGACAGAAGGTTGCAGGCAGGCAGGAGGAGACCACCAGGTCAGGGCCCAAAGATGCCAGAGTGACTGGCAGGAAGTTGGGAAAAGGGAAGTGGGACATGTGGGGCTGCAGGACTGGGGTGGCTAGAGGAGGCAGCAGCCAAGTTATGAGTGGGGTTCCAACCCATGGCAGGTGAGAGACAGCAGGCAGCTGTAACACCTGACTACAACAACCACTACTCCCAACTCCTGCAGGCTCCACAGTGGTGAGGGAAGGGTACCTCAGACAGGCCACGGATGTCCAGAAGACAGGGCATAACCATAACTCTCATATAATGCCAATTTTGCATAATGAGCTGGTATTTGGAACCCAAACCAAATCAATAAGTGAGGAATGGGTGTATAGATGGAAATAATTGAAGTAATAGCATTGAAAAGCATTGCCATTTCTACTTAATATACTTTAAATACACCAGTAATTTTTATTTAAAAGAAACCTTTTTAGTATCAGTGTAGGAAGAGTTCCCTTATTATTTACTCCTTATCATTCCATTTTATAGACATATTCTGATAGCTTAGTGTTTATGAATTGGGCTGCTAATCTCACGGTCAGCAGTTTGAAACTACCAGTTGTTCCACGGGAGAAAGATGAGGCTTTCTTCTCCCATAAAGATTTACAGCCTCAAAAACCCTGTACAGGGTCGCTATGAGTTGGAACCAACTCCACGGCACATAACAACAACATAATCTATTTAAACAACCCCTTATTGATGGACAGTTTTTGTTGTTTTTGTTCTCTATTCTTTTGGACATACAAACAATAGTGAATATGCCCATGTACAATTATATCTGTACATTTCAAAAGTTGAATTGCTGGATAAAAAAGTGTGTATACTTCATTATTAATAAAAAATCCAAGCCAAACCCACTGCCATCAATCAAGACAATTTCAGTTCATAGCAACCATGTACAGATAGGGTTCCTGAGATAATAAATCTTTATGGGAATAGAAAACATCATCTTTTTCCCACAGAGCTGCTGGTAGGTTTGAACTGCTGACCTTGTGATTAGCATTCCAGTGCTTACATTACATTACCATCAGGCTCCTTTGTCATTAATAGCTATTGCCTCATGTTGTTGTTGTTAGGTGCCGTCAAGTTGGTACCGTCCCATAGAGACCTTATTTATGCACAGCAGAATGAAACACTACCCGATCCTAGGCCAACCTCACTATTGTTGCCACACTTGAGTCCATCGATGCTGCCACTTGGCCAATCCATCTCATTGGGGGTCTTTCTCTTCTTCTCTGACCCTCAACCTTACCAAACATGATCTCTTCTCCAGTGACTCGTCCCTCCTGACAACATGTCCAAAGAATGAGAGATGTAGTTTGGTCATCTTGGCCTCTAAGGAGCACTCTGGCTGCACTTTTTCCAAACCAGATCTATTGGTTCTTTTGGCAGCCCATGGCACTTTCAATATTCTCCTCCAACACCATAACTCAAAAACATCAATTACAGAGGTAATTGAAAAAACCAAGGTTTGGGTCAGGCGCACCTTAGTCCTCAAGACATCTTTGCTCTTCAACACTTTAAAAAGCTCTTGGGCAGAAGAATTACCTAATGCAATATGTCGTTTGATTTCTTGACTGCTGCTTCTGTGAGTGTTGATAGTTGATCCCAGAAGAATGAAGTCCTTGACAAATTTAATCTTTTCTCTATTGATAAGAATATTGTTTATTGGTCCAGTGGTGAGGATTATTGTTTTCTTGACATTGAAATGTAATCCATACCCAAGGCTGTGCTCTTTGATCTTCATCAGTAAATGTTTTAAGTCCTCTTCACTTTCAACAAGATTGTATCATCTGCATATAGCAGGTTGTTAATGAGTCTTCCCCCAATCCTGATGCCACATTTTTCTTCATATAACCCAGCTTCTCAGATTATCTGTTCAGCACAGTTGAATAAGTATGGTGAAAGAATACAACCTTGTCACACACCTTTTTAAATTTTAAACCATTTAGTGTTCCCATGTTCTGTTTAAACACCTCTTGGTCCAGGTACAGATTCCTCAAGAGCACAATTTAGTGTTCTGGAATACTCATACTTAACAATGTTGTTGATAGCTTCTCGTGATCCACACAATGGAAAGCCTTTGTGTAGTCAATAAAGCACAGGTAAATATCTTTCTGGTATTCTCTGCTTTCAGCCAAGATCCATTGGACATCAACAATGATATCCCTTGTTCCATGGACTCTTCTGAATCCTGCTTGATTGAACCTCTGGAAGTTCTCTGTCAATGTATGCCTGCAGCCGTTTCTGTATTACTTTTAGCCAAACTTTACTTGCATGGGATATCAAGGAGATTTTCCGATGATTTCCGCATTCCCTTGGGTCACCTCTCTTTGGAATGGACACAAACATGGATCTCTTTCAATCAGTTGGCCAGATAGATGTCTTCCAAATTTCTTGGCAGAGATGAATGAGAGCCTCCTGTACCACCTCACTTTTTTGAAAGATTTCAATTTTTATTCCATCAGTCCCTGGTGTCTTGTTCTTTGCCAATTCCTTCAATGCACCTTGGACTTCCTCCTTTAGTATCATTGGCTCTTGATCACATGCTACCTTTTGAAATGGCTGAACATTAACCATTTCCTTTTTGTACAATGACTGTGTATTCCTTCCATCTTCTCTTGATGCTTTCTGCATCATTCACTAATTTGCCCAGAGAATCTTTCAATAACGAAAGTTGAGGCTTGAATCTTTTTTTCAGTTCCCACAGCTTGAGAAATGCTGAGCGTGTTCTTCCTTTTTGGTTTTCTGAATTCAGATCTTTGCAAATTTTGTTGTAATATTTGGCTTTCTTTTCTAGAGCTGGTCTTGAAATTTTTTGTTCAGCTCTTGTACCTCCTCATTTCTTCCATTTGCTTTAGCATCTCTACACTGGAGAGCAAGTTTCAGTGTCTCTTCTGACATCCATTTT